CTCCTGGCGGAACTGGTGGATGAGACCCGACTAGGTCGAGTCGTTGGGCCCACCCGGCCCCCGGCCGGGTGGAACATCTCGACGGTACCTGTGGTTGACGTGGCTGGCGCAGACCGGCTGGTGCCACCGCCGCCCGGCCGTCACTTCGTGGCGGCGTCGTTCCCCATCATCCAGGAGGACGAGAACGGCGCCACCAAGGTACGGAGAGGCGAGGATTGGCGTCGGGCCGGCCACAATGCCACGGTGAAGGCACATGATGTGCCGACTCACCACTTCGTCGACGACTACGTCGACATCATCCGACGGGTCGTCGAGCTGGTCGGCCCGGAACAGGCAGAGGCTCTACGCATCTTCGGCCACGACCTCCTCAATGCCTATCGGCAGTGGCCGGTCAAGGAGCCGGCGCACTCCGGCACATTCTTGCCGGCGCCCAACGGGGTCACCATGTGGTTCCATATGGCGATGTGCTTCGGCGCGGCGGCGTCGGTTTGGAATTTTAACCGAACTGCCGACGCGCTGCAGGCGCTGAATGAAGCGGGTACTGCTCTGGATCGTCTCCGGCCACTACGTCGACGACTTCAACGGCGTCGACCTGGACGAGCTAGCGCCCGGCGCCTTTGAGGGGATGGCGGAGTTCCTCGACCAGCTCGGCTTGCAGACGAAGCCATCGAAGGCACAGAAGCCGGCGACAGAGCACATTGTTCAAGGCGTGCTCGTGTCGATCAGTCGGACTGGCGTGGTGCTGCAGCCCACCCCGGCGAGACTGCAGAAGGTTCTCACCACCATCGACACAGCCCTGGCGGAGAACGAGTTGGCACCCGACGTCGCCAGCCGCCTGGCGGGATGCCTCAACTTCGTGACACAGTCCACCTTTGGCGCCGTCGGCAAGGCGGCGCTGCAACCGGTGTACTCCAGGGCACACGACGCGGCAGCAGCGTCGAACACCAGCCTGTCGATGGGACTACGGGCGGCACTGTTGTCGCTCCGGCACCTCCTGGCGAACATCCAGCCCAAGACGGTCCCCTTTGTCGATGACGGCATGCCCCAGGCGATCATTTACGCGGATGCCTTCTACAAGCTCGGCGAGGTACGGCACAAGGCGGGTCACATCCCGGCAGAAGTGGCCGTCAAGCCGGGCACACGGGGGCAGAACGGTTGGGGCGAGTTCCTCCACGTCTTCGCGGCGC